ATATCACTTGATACAAGTGAGACTCAATATTGATAGAAGACAAAAAAGTCAAGAAAAGCTTATGCAAAGATAGCAACAAAGGAACAAATCATCATGAGGTATAAGATTTTGAGAATGAATGAATCTGTTAAGACTTTTCATGTTTTGCATACATAACTGTAGTGATGAATCTTTTCTATGTTTGGTAGATTCATTCAAACATCATCCATCATGAATTAAGAATATAATATTGATCTCTATCAATTTACTAAATTAAAGAAAGTAGTAATGATTTTTTATTTGAGTACAGAGTTCTTATATTCTTTAAAAACTTCCTTAAGAGATTGAAATATGTATTTCACTTTAATAGATGGGTACTTATGATGCAAGCGCATGTACATCGCATCAAATGCAGCACACAGAAATACTAGACATATTGGTTCATCTATATGATACATTCAGGGTAGGAGAGATTATTTATAGAAAAATCAATTGCCATTAATCTTCATATTTGCTTTTACAAACTGATCATTAATATCAAAATTTTACTTATATTTAAATATAAGTAAAATTTTGAGACTAGCAGATAACAATATGTTAATAACTTAATTTTAGCATGGTTTATCACAGCATTACATTTATTCCCCATAAATTTGTTCTCATTAATATCCCCTTAACAATATTGAGGGTAAAAAATTCTTGCAATTTACATCTAGGTAAGTGAAACTGTTGGAAATTAAAGCTAAGAAACTAGCTTTTCATGTATAAACAGAATGGATTCAACTAAGTATCATATTTTCTATAGAGTTTAGAAAACTATATCGCACCAGAACAAGGTTCATCATTTGAATGCATGGAACTTATTTATTGTAGTTTAATTTGAGGACCTTTAGCTGTACGGCTTCACTCGCATATCCAAATTCTGAGCCACGAACCTGCAGTTGCCAACGTCACCACCCTAAACTCGCATATCCAAATTCTGAGCCACGAATCTGCAGTTGCCAACATCACCACCATAAACTAGAATATCCAAAGTCTGAGCTACGAACCTGCATTAGCCAACGTCACCACCCTAAACAAGGTGAAGAACTAGAACTGCCAACGTCAGAGAAGTGAAGAAGCCGGATCCAGGAGGGACACGGCTTCCATTCCCACCACTGAAGGCCATCTGCATGGATTAATTTCAAGCCCTTCCTTAAGGATATTCCAGGTGATACTATGAATATGCTAAGTGCATTTCATCTGACGTTACCCAAACCTTCCCATCGTTGTTTACTTTCCATTTGGCCCTTTCCTGTTTTTGCTCAAATGAAAGAAAATTGAAGATTTTCTTCAGCAAGTTCAGAACTCCCTTTGCGTTAATTTAGAAAATCTCCAAAAGTATATCTTATTGAGCTTATGCCTAACCTGAAAAAATTCTATATTGTTCGGCTTGAACTTCTTATTAATAGTACCCAAAAGTTTGGTCCATGATTTAAACCCAGTCTTGCTAGAGAAGAAATTTAAGAAAGTGACTTCACATACGTATAAATCTAATGAGGTTCACTAAAACAACAGGTACTAATATGAAAATACTAAGTGCATCTGATCTAACCGTACTCATATTATTATGGTTAACGCGTCATCCATCCGTTTGATGTAAAATAAGCCATTCAAATTATCGAATTGTTTATAAGAGAGATCAATATGGCGAGATGATTGCAGAAGAAAAGTTCAGGATTCACATCACACTGCCAAAGTTAACATATGGTTTGCATGCGAGGTTTAAGGAACTTACATTGGTATCGTAATGAACGATGAAGTTACAGACTCCTTCTCTTGACACAGTAAGTAATAAAATCCAAAGAATGGACGAGAAAGGAAGTTGAACCAAGATGCGGCATGATTGTCTTTAAAAAATCATAGATATGTAGATTGATAGATAGATAGATATGTGGGGAATCATCAGAGTAGACTTTAAGCTGAGGTGGTTTGCACTCTTAAAAGCAACTTTAAATGGCATGGTAAGATAAGCATTATTGAACTTATGAGTATGACTGATTCAATACTGACAACAACTATGATGGGAAGAAGATATCACTGTCTCTACCTCATGGCCATGAGAGCCTGTTCCGTTGGTTATCAATTTTCTGCCTATCTACAGTTTTTAAACCTAGAAAGGAATTGATTCTTACCAGATAATCCTCTTGAAATTCCAAGTTGGGTGGAGTTTGTGCTTCATAGAATATTTGATTATCTTCAATTTGTACAATCGACTGATGCCTGATGATCCAGATATACATGCGACTGAGTATTGGTGAGAGAAGTTCATGCTGTCTGTTTGATGAGTATGCAAGCATATCTCTTCAGTCCTTGCCATGCAGTCTAAAGAGGAAAAGAAGTACTTTGCACATTTTTATGTTGGCTGTAAAACAAACACCTGTCGAGGAGGTAACATTTCTTCTCAATCAGAATATGATTGCACTACCAAAACATCAACATACAATGCAAATACATTGAACTTGGTCATATACAACCTATGATGAGAGTTATGTGAAGATGTGCTGTCACCACTATATCATAAAAATATACTGTACAATACACTGAATTTGGTCATATTAAGCCCGTGAGGAGAGATATGGAAAGTTTTGATGGCACTACCAAATTATCAACCTCTTCTGCATGATACGATGAATGTGGTCAAATAAAGTCTGTGAGGAGAGATATTGGAAGATATGATGTCAGTACCCAAACACGAACATACATTGAACTTGGTCATATATAGAGCCCAGGACGAAAGATTTGGGAAGAACCGGGGAAAGTAAATAAAGTTGCGGAAGACACCGTTAAGCCGTGCGAGGATGAACCAAAGCTGGTAACCAGAGTTCATGCCCTGGTTAAGAGAGATATAGTTTATTATAGTCTACATCTAATCTAGGTAAGTCATAAAACGAAGGAGATCTGGTCGGATGATTTGCAACCAGATCCCTTTTGTCCTTTAATCCAAAGAGTGGATCTTTGTGCCCCAGTAAGCTGCGAAATGGAACTGGAATCGCGAACGTCATGGCGACTGGCGCAGACCCTCACGCAGTTAAGATATCAGCACCGGACTGCTATGGTATCAAACGCGGCCTTTTTCGGACCGAGTGACTTCTACGGATGGCAAGTGAGAGCGCCTGCCCTGGCTACTGCCGCAGTCGTGGTTGTGTGGCCGGTCAAGGCATCGGCATCGGCTCAAATGTTCACAAATGTAATCCAGTAAGCTGAAGCCAAATGCACAACGGAAGACGATTGCCATTTGGAACAAACATCCCTCTCGATTTCCCACATTAAACGATGACCGCATGATTTGCTTCTCCCCTGGTCCAAGACGGCAAGAAGACTTTCGTTAGTCTGTTCTATCTTCAGCTCGAGTACCGCATATTCAAGTATGCAGAGCCAGAGAACTTTTATGTCTTTGGACGAAGTTTTTGAGCTAAACTTTCCTCTAAGGAAACAATTATAATTTCTACATAAATCATGAGTAACTTGATACAGTAAATATTCGAGATCTCATATAGAGCTCGAACGTCGATTCCCAGGTTTGTGATACTTTTCTTTTTTACACTATGACAAGCCATAAAAATATAACTAATGCGCACCGCTTTTTGTGCTTACAAGAGGCCAGATTACACACTTGTCCCAATTTACGTCTTCAGTTTGGGTTTTACAGCCAAAGGACAACACTATAGTCCACTTACCAAATGGAGACACATGTAAATTCTTGCAAGATTAGCTTACATAATAAATAGTAGCAGAAAGTCTACCAAGTATGAAACAAAACGAATAATTAAAATAAACAAAGCCGTAGCAATAAATGCTAAAATATTAACTTCCATAATTATATTATATTAAGGGTTATTTAAAAATATTGAAAATATCATCTGATCAAAATATGAATCTGTTTTTTTACAGTCATATATAATTTTGGTTTAATTTTTAATTCAAAATTTAATATTGCTAGGATTCGATACATTCACAACAATATAATAGAGAACATCATCCAACTGAGAGCATATATATTAAAGTTTTTTTACATGAATAAAATAGGATTATTAAATTTATGAAACCTTTCAGACATTCATTCTCTCATCTCATCAGCATGTAGAAATACGATTGTAACTTTATGTTGGTATGCTGCTATCAAAGCCCCATTGGGCTCAACATAAAACATGCGAAGCGTCCAACTTGCTAATGCTACACACCTCAGGTGTGTCTTCACTCGCCGACCTTCGATTCTGAATAAAATATTCCCTAGAATGGCGAACAGGATGCAGCTTTTTGCAGCGCCGGACCTCAAGCACTTCCCCGGACACAGCGCAAGAAGGCTCGGGGTCAGAAAGGAGCCACTTGCGGCCCTCCGGACAGAGAAGTCAGTTTTTTCAGTTGTCCATACAATCGGGGCGGGGCGGGGCGTGACCTGGACACCGGCACGGCACGGCGCGGGTGAGGGGACGGACCCGGTTCAGTGAACGGGGGAGGAGTCATTTCTGGTGGTTTGTGCGCTGGATGGATAAGTCCGGACAGGCGCCTCGTCAATTCCTCTCACGATCGACGAGTTCCGTAGCCGCGCAGGCTCGCGGCAGTTGGAGTTTCCAGTTCCGTATGAGCGCGAAAGAGTCGGTTCGCCGCGTAGCAGCCGGTTCCCCACCTGCTCGAGCCGGATCTGCAAATAGATTCCGGACCGAGATTTGGCCTTTGCCCGTAAGAATCGAACCACACTGCGAAAATTGGCAATCGAGGCATGCGGAAGTTGGGAGGTCGCAGCCGGTCACGGCTGACCTGCTATCCGATCTCTCGCCCCGCTCGTCGTCGTCGTCCTCGTCGTCGGCGCGTGCGCGCGCGTATTGTAGAGAGGTCGGAGCAGCGCGCAAGAATGCGCTTTCGCTCTTATCGCGAGAGAGGAATTTGCAGAGATCCCCGAGAATGATGCCTTTCTTGGACAGCGAGGGCCGATTGCACTCTCGTGCTCGTGCCTCGGCTCAGCTGCTCGTTAAATCCTCGAGATCCCGAGAACTTCTGCCGTCTTCCACTTCTGCGCTGCCCCGAAGCTTCGAGTGGGCCTTCGAATCTGCCGCTTGTGAATCCTTCGAGCTCGAGAGCATTTTCCTCAAATCTTCTTCGTGAGATTCGCTCAGAGAGAAAGAGAGAGGGAGAGAGGGGTGGAAGAAATGGTTCGAGGAGAGGAAGCTCGTGAGGTGAATGGAGATTCACTGAAGGTGGTGCGGTATGGGATCGTGGGCTGCGGGATGATGGGTCAGGAGCACATGATGAATTTGTTTCACTTGGCGGGAGCGCAAGTGGTGGCAATTGCCGATACCAGTAGAGTGTCGTTGACGCAAGCTTGCGCGTTGTCGACCCGGAGTGGTCATTCGAGGAATTTAGAGGTGATTTCTCGACGTTGAGGTCTTGCGTATATATCTTCGTGGTCCGCCTGCGCACGATGATTTCCTGTCTGCATCACTCACAACGAACTCGCTGGATTGTGAAAGCATGAAACGAATTGGTCACGCTGGACCCAGTTGCGGTGATCGCCCTCGAGACGATAACAAGTGTCTGCTACTGTTGATCGTCCTTGTTTCTTTATGTCCCCCTCAGAGTCAACGTAGCTTTGAGTTCGTAGGATTCTCTACCTCCTCCCTCAGCTTTGCTCCCGAAACGTCCCGAATTACGAGCTCCGACCCTGAGGGCCGAAAGTACCGATCGATTTTAGAGTCAAGTGCAATTTTAGCGGTGCCCAGAGATGGTCATGAACAGCGGAGCTGTGGAATGAGCACAATTCCTCCTGTTTAGGTCTCACTCCGTGGACATTGAGAATCGCAGCTACTCTCCTCGTCCAAGTTGGATAGTTGCGTCAGTCTTGTCAGTGTCTCTAATGTCGCCCCTAAACTACCTGGTGGCGAGCGTTCTTGCTCTGTTGCTTCGAGGCCGCACAGTCATCTCCGAACGGAGATGACTGTGTGGCCTCGAAGAAAGGGGCAGAAGAATATACGTGAATAGCCAACGAATCTGGACAGGGCGAGGAATGCTGTTGTTTCATCGTTTCGTGGCCGAGGCGACATGAATATTCACGAGGCACTTTTTGTGGTCCCACAAGCAGCTGAGATTCAATCAGGAACTGATTGGATCGTTCATGATCGTCCGGTCTAGTACTGCCATGTCGGTGTGATGTACTTTTGTGTAGGATTATATGCTATGGCTTTGGAGTCAATAAACACGAAATGATTCGTTCGTATGTTGGGTCTGACTCGTTGAATTACGTTTATTCAGATTTTTCGTAACCACGGTGACCTCTTGGATAGCGGGTTATGTGACGTAGTGATCATTTCGACTCCCAACATGACCCATGCTCAAATTATTATGGATGTACTGGCTCATCCCGGCCGTCATCACATCCTCGTAGAGAAGCCTCTATGTACCCACGTCGCAGACTGTAAGAAGGTACAGTAACCAGTTTCTTTTTTTCATTTTTACCCCATTGAGATTTTACATCAGATCCTCGTATAGAGGCTTCTACGTACCAAAGTCGCAGATAGTAAGAAAGTACCGTATCCTAATCTGGCTTCCTAACTACGCGCTTGATTAGAGTTTATCAGCGTGCTTCCAGTCTCATATTTGGGTACGTTTGTGTGTGTTAATGATGTAGGTGATGGAGGCTGCGAAACGACGGCCTGATATTCTGGTCCAAGTGGGCTTGGAATACAGATACATGCCTCCAGTTGCCAAGCTCCTCAAGCACGTGAAGGCCTCGACATTCGGACGAGTTAGGATGATATCCATTAAAGAGCATAGGTTTCCCTTTCTAGTGAAGGCAAGTGACTTTTATTGTTTGGTATTGTGTCACTTTTTGCTGTACGCTGTGCTCTTGTATTGAGTTTTTTTATTCCCAGGTTAGGGACTGGATTCTCAAAAGCAATCATAAAGTGATGAAAGAAAAGCGAATCGTGTGATGCAGGTAGATGACTGGAATCGTTTCAATGAAAACACGGGTGGTACTTTGGTGGAAAAATGTTGCCACTTTTTTGACCTGATGAACTTGATGGCCGATTCAAGGCCTCGTCGCGTGATGGCATCTGGGGCACAGGACGTCAACCACCTTGACGAACGATACAATGGAAAGGTCGGATGATTTATCTGCGCATTAGCCGCGTAACTTGATTGCATGTCCAACTTATTTGCACACCTTTTAGTGCACAACTTATTTGCACAAATGAGGAAGAGTATTTTCTCAAAAAGCGAAGTCTTTTGTAAAACCTTTCTGCTGTTTCAGTCGTGATTGCAGGAGTTTAGGACAATCTTCATTCAGTCTAACGGATAAGTCGAATGTGTAGATCCGTGTCCTGTCCTTGAAGTACCGCCGTGGTCACTATGTGATGCAGGTGCCTGACATAATTGACAACGCATATGTGATCGTGGAGTACGAAAATGGTATCAGGGCAATGCTGGACCTCTGTATGTTTGCCGAGGGTAGCAAGAATGAGCAAGAGATTTCGGTGGTCGGTGACCTCGCCAAGGTACCCACTGTTATATCGTCTTTTCGTTTTCGCATAAAAGTGACAAGGTTGATTCTCACCAATCAGAACTTTTCGCTGACAGCCATGCACCGCCCAAATGATTCACAGGTCAATCGATGAAGTGAAAGGCATCTAATGCTTTGGAGCTCGTGATGACATTGTAGGTGGAGGCTCTGGTGCCAGAAAACGTTATGCGCCTAGGATCCAGGAGTGGTTCGAGAGAAGGAGTGGAAACTTTTCATTGTCACGATGACCGTATCAAGTAAGTGAAGCCACTGGAAATCATCTTTTGCGTAGCTAGTGTACATGAATCCCAATAGTCAATCGTAGGTTTTGCACGAATCGTAGACGATTGTCGAAAATAAACTACTGACTTTGAAACTTCCCTCGACGTTGATGTCGATTTCTTCCTGAACAGATACAGTGGTTTACACCACGGCTCTAGTTATCTGGAGCATCTCGACTTCATCGATGCGGTTAGATCGCATGGGCGCAAACCTCCAGTGGTGGGTTTATATGAAGGTCTGCTCTCTGTAGCCATAGGTCAGGCAGCCCAGTTGTCGATAAAACTTCGGAGGTTTGTGAATTTGGATGAGGTCATGCAAGAGAAGGTCTCTGAGGAGGTAGTTGCGTTTTGATCGGATTGAAGGCAATGACGACTTACATCCGGAAGTTGGTAGAATAGGTTTTCCTTCTTTCTCTACAAGAAGCACTAGTTGTAAGTTTAAAGCGTGGTTAATGTCCATCCTGCTTCGACAACCCCCACTCCAATTTTGTTATAGTTAGGGTTCTCACAATTGATAGAAAATATTGTATAAAGTTAGTTATCTTCATCCTGGATGTACATTCCACGCTGTACATAGGCGGCTTTTACAATGAATGAACATGAAATAGTTAAGCAAAGTATACTGAAAACTCGTTTTCAACTCTCATTTTTTTGAGGTCGACTGAACATTATTATCAACTCAACAATGACCGAGCACCGACTGAATTGCACTCTGTGCCTCTCTTGGGAACCACATCTCCACAGTTCATTCATTGACATGAGCTGCGATTGTAGAAAGAGCCTAAGTTGGTGATTCCATGTTCCGCTGCTAGGTGGTATACTTTTGATTTGTCCAATTCGAAAGTCTACCACATAGCAGAACATGGACTCATCAACTGTGGCACTTGATTGTTTTCCTGTAGTTGACAGAGAGCCATGTCAACGTTGTTGTTGTCTGTCTAGCAGTGGACGAAATTAGCTCTTGGTCTATTGGTCGCTGACCATCTTCTCTATGAGATCGTGTTATATATATACTCTTATCCATGGCCGTTTTGTCAAATCCAGTCCTAGTCTGGAGTTCGAACACGGCAATAATTAACTGACATAAGAACATTGACGACATTTAAAATATAATCAGTCAAGAGATGCACCTAGCGGATGAAGGATGGATCCAATTTTGCCAACAGTCTACCAAACTGTCTTGGAACTAGATCATTTGATACACAGTAAAATGCGCTGAGATGGGAGGACGAAAAGCTGAATGAAGAATTGAAAATAAAATCGTGAGGGTCCAGTGTCGAACCGCTGTTTCCAAGTGAGCCAGTGGCGTCATGAGAAAGGGCTTGCTTTTGCAACCCCTGTCCACAAAGGCCGTAGTGTTTAGCATCAAGACGAGATTTTTACAATCTCAGTTTCTTGAGAATGAAAAGCGATCGTAAGAAGTACAGGGGAAGCAAACACGCAGTAACTAGCTCTTTTGATCTTCACACTTGTTGACCTAAAATGTAATTATATCTTTGAGGTACTGAAGTTGTCAGGCTATCTATACCACCTTAAATTCTTAAATCTATCTCACAATACTTGAAAATTCAAGTTCTTTCACGAATTATGCCCAGATAAGTTTGTGGTCCCATTTTAGGAGGTATTTACTTGATAGTACCAATCGTAACGGAAAATTACTTGATGCGATACACTCAAGTTTCGTTTTACGGGATGGGATCGAATTTACGTCACATCGTTACCAAGTTCTAAAACGTGTTACTGTATACATATTGTGCGAATTTTAGTGTAACTTTGCGATAGCAAATTGCTACTATCGCAAATTCGACACATTTTTGTCTAATTTCTCGATATAAATCTATTTTTGAATGGTCACCTTTGTCCGCGCCCCTCGTGATCTTTCGCTGCCTGTCGAATTCATTATTCGAGCGATAGAACAATCTGATCGAGAGAGTGAAATTTGTGTCGAAATTTGTGGAGAACCTCGTCGTGTGACGTCCAAAGTCACGCTTGGTTCTTACTCTGCCTCATGTCGATTGGAGATAAGATCTCTCTTTGGACGAACTCAAATTTGTCGATGAATGACGAAAGATTATCGAAGATGTTGGTGTTATATCTAAAAAGGTAAATCCGATTTGACTCTTATATGATTTTTTCCCCAAACCAACAAAGAATATCAGACAACCACTATTTTGCTCGAAACACGGTTGGAGCTCTTTCGTGCCAAACGAAGTAAACTTCTTCGTGCAAATCGTTACGACAGGGTTCCATTGCGTGCACCTTCTACCATGGGTGTATCCCATTTGGTAAAACGAAACTTAAAGTGTACCAATAAACAATTTAGGTTTCCATGGTGTTCCATGGAAACCTAAACCAAGTAAAAACCTCCCCATTTTAAAGACGGTCTTGAAGATGTATAGGATTCGCATTGGGTAAAAGAATTATCCAATTACTTCACGTACTCTTTGCGTGCAAGTCTTTCTTTAGTTGAGCATGGTCACTTCGTTCAAGGTGAGGATGGGAAATGTAGTAGAGGTTCTACTCAACGACAAATAAGGATATGGTGATGTCCTGTCAGGAGACTGCGTCCGTGTTACATCGGAGATGGTCTTCGACGTAAGTTGGCTGACAGCCTTGCAATCCAAGGCATAATGAGTAGGATGTTATAGTTGACAAGTAATCTGTACAAATTTACCAAGGGAGCACAGTGTCGACTCTTCATATTGCTCGTTTCCTGTGCATCATCCCAAGATCCGTTCACAAAATGCTTTTTGTCGTCGGAGGAAATTGTCGAGTTAATATCACCTCTTAACGGAACAATCGGGACGTGGATCTCGATGGTCAAACCGTCAACACGCATCGAACACACGCCTCGCATGTACTCGATGAGGGAGTGCGACTCTTTCTCGCTTTTCAAGCTCAGAGCGTGGGGACTCTGTTATCATATAAGTAGATAGGTAGGCAGATCCCTGCAACAATTGTTGTGTAACTTGTGATTTTATCATCCTCTGCAGCACCGGGATTGATGCTGACTGACTATGCACGACGTTGTTCGGATATGAATTCGCTGTGCGCATCAATGCTTCGTGTACATCTTCTCACTCTCACTGACCGCAGAGCTGGGAAGCTGGCGCTAGAATGGCGTTATTCACTTTCCATTCACCATATCCTTCTGTTCCCTTCAATACTGACAGACATGTAGATGAGTTCATGGATAGAGCAAAATGTCGGAGTTTTCAACTCTTCCTGTGGTGGTGGTGGTGGATACTGGCTCACGAGCGCAGCACGATACACCAAGACAGTGTACGCGTAGTTTTTCTCTGGATTTGTTCATGTTTGATTGAATATAATGGGAGATTTCCACTCGACTAAAGACTTTCTTGCGCTATCAAGAGGGTTGAGCTGCGTAAAGGTGAATTTTTTGAGCAGTAACACTCTAATAAAGAGTAGTCGCCAAGCGCAGCCGTGCTTCAAAACGTTTTAGTCCACAAACTGGAGGATTCAACCTTTGACCTGTCGATGTTCAAAAATTCAATGATCGGTTCGGATCAAGCTAAGAGTAAAATCCAAATCTACTTGCCTTCAGTTGCTGGACCAGCTCTTCCGATCTAGTCAAGTTCTCTACATTATATATTGTGAAAGACATACATGTCCAGCTGCCAAGTGTGTCGGAGCAGTCAAACATCGATCTCGGCTGACTACTTTGTGCCTGATCTCACATGTGGATCTTCTCAAGCTGATGTCATCATTCTCATCCCAATCCTATCATAGAAGGAACCCATTCCTCTCCTCTTAGCGGGAACGAAGGTGAAATCCACGACTGAATGTTCACATCCGTGCTGATGGTGGAAGCCACCGCAAGCTTCCTGGAAGGCCACGGAGACAAGCAAGGACCAAACGGTGGCCTGAAGGCGAGAGAGACACAGCAATCGCCCACCAATGCCGGCTGAGCGCGATGCACAACCTCGGCCCTATCGCTGGACCGGCAGTAGCTGCCGAATCCCCACGAGGAATCCCAAAAGAAGGCAAGAAAGCGAGCAAGAAAGCTGCGACGCACTCGACCAGCTCCGCCTCTTCCTGCTCGTCCTCCAACTCCATCTCCTCGCGAGGGAGGGGCTTTCATACGCACGACCACCGAGCCAGGACACAAGACCAACCGCGCAGGGCAGAAATTGGCTTCCGAGCGCAGGCCGAGTCGAATTCAGAAACTTCCCTCGAATGACTCCTTCCTTCCGCGCACTGTGGGATCTCTCTGCGTCATGTGCGCTGCCACCACGACCACGGCCACGGGGATGACGCAGTGTGCTCGACTCCATGACGAACTCGGTGGTGGGCTCGCCGCATGTCACCACGTTCGCACGCGCTCTGTCGCTGCTCCCCGCTCCAACGAAGTGCCCACGGCCGGTTTCGTTTGCTACCTCGGTCGCTCGCTACCTACCGGGTTCGATCAGCACGCAGTCAAAGATTGGGTCAAGGATGACGACTCCATGCTTGACTCGGTCGTGTGGGGGCTCCAACCACCAACCACGTTATCTCCAACCACGTTCTGTACTTACTTCGTCCAGACATGGAGACGCGGAATCAACTCCTTGACGCGAAATCTAATGAAATCTAAACCTTTGGGCATTTGCGATGCAAAGAGCGAGAGGATTTAATATATTCCATTGCGAGGCAGAGGCAAAGCCGCATTGTTACAGCCGTCACCAGATTCATTTTCTTCTATTACGAGAAAGGTGATGGGTATGGAAGTGAGAAAAAATCTCTACTCGATATCATTCATAGTTCTGTGCTGGACTTGTATCTCTGTGACATACTGGAAGCAAAATATATAATAACGGTCTGTGAGTGTGTATTTTTTTCTGTTTCAATTATGTCTGCCTTACGAGTTAATTTTTTTTGAACCCACCTAATGCATTGACCATCTTAGGATGATGAAATCAAACTAGAAACATATGAGGCTAGGACCCAATAACCTTACATATGTCTTATCATATCTGAAAAATCATGATTCTACCTACAAGATTTGTTGTTGAAAATACACCAATTGATATGATATATTTTCTCATGTATATATTCGCCTGTTTCTGTTCTCTATAAAGTTAAGAAAACATACTACTATGTTTATTCAATAGTAGTATATTTTCTATAAATTCTATCTAGAATCATATGTAATATGCTCCATATGTGGAGCGATGATATTTCAAATTGGCAAATGTGGCACCACAAACATTTGTGATGGAATCCATATTCTAGTTATGTGCAATCATGTTAAATTTGATCTTGTGTTAGAAAGATGGACCAACTTCCCCGTATAGCATGCGGGGATATACGGGGAATCTTCGCTTTAGGCATAAACATTCACTGAGAATCTTCCTGGCTTTGTTATTTATTATTGTTTGGTGTCTTGACAAACTATCATCTACTCATCGATCGTTTTATAGATTTTGTAAAACGGGGTAACGTCAATTGATACTGGTTTTATTAGAAATACAAGTTACTATTATTAGGACGATATACTTATATTTCAGATATGGGCGTATGTTAATTTTAGCTACTTGGAGTAGAGGTGATGTGCAGTGGGGAATTCTTGAGCGATGTGCTTGTCTTCATCGCACATATATATAGAATGGAATCCCGTCATTTGACGGATTTCGTTCGATAATATTGTAAAATTATAAGATTGTAGAATCAAAACCTTTAACTTTCAGGCGAATAAATCGATCAGTTATTTCATGTTAATAAAAAAACTTTGCGCTGCAAATAATCAGGACAGAAACCCAGATACTTCACTCAACTCTGGCCCCACACCAAGAAAGACTGAAATTAAGCACAATCAGGATCCAACGACGTTTGCAAACCTAGAAAGTAAATTTGTGGCGGTGAGCGCAAGAAGAAGCCAGTGCATGAGGAGGGAGGAGGCAGCCAGGGGGGTAAAGGAAGCCGGCGATTGGCCGCAGGGCTTTACGAGCTGCCAGCGCACCACGCTTGGCCCGGCGCGCGCGTCCATTGGCATGCTGAGAAACCGACACGTCAGTGAAGGCCGCTGCTGACGTGGAGGGGCTGGCCCGCTGTCGAGAGTGTGGATAGAAAGGGGAGGGGAATGGGGAATGAGGAGGGGGAGGCCAGAGTCCAGCGGAGGAAAGTCAGAACTCTGACCGAGCTCGAAGGCGACGAAGAGCTCACCAACCATCATCATCTGCTGCTGCTGCTGCTGCTGCGGCTCTGTGTACGATCAGGTAAGCAGAACATGAAGCTCCGAGGTCACGACGGGACAAACAACCGCCTGCTGCATGGATGATGATGCGGCTTATCTCGATCTCCGGGCGAGTTTCCCCGCCAGCTTTAAAGCGAGAGATTCCGTTAGTCTGACATTCGGAAGGTGCGATTTTGGAGCTACGTTTCGAGGTCTCGTCGCCTCCACCTCCGTGAGTGAGCCCAGGCTCAAGACGCCACGGATACGACAGACAGACTACAGACGACATGAACACGGAGCTCTCCTCTCCGAATCCAAAATCCTGTCTGGCAAAAACAAAAACAAATCGTCGGTGCGAAAAAAAGTGTTTGAACAAGTCGCACGACGCTTTGACATCATGCTCGCTGTGAGTGAGACTAGCCCGATTTGGGTTTCACACCATGGCTTTCGAGCACGGCTGAGTGCCAATTCTAGACCTTGCGGCGATGAGAGAGTACTCGACGTACTTTTGCCAGGCGAAAATGTTCCTCTCGGTGTCATGTTTCGCGAGCGTGCTGGAGATGAGTCCAGCTGGGCGCAATGTTGTCATGTGCTTTTTGACTTGTGCTAGTACCACCGCCCGGTTCGCATCCAGATCGCACGCTACGCTAGAAGCTCGACCCGGCTGGCGCCAGTCCGGGCCCCACTGTCACTCGCCCCGTCCTCCTCTCGAAAACGATTGTTCACTTTCCCATCGATTCTCCTCGTTCAGCGGATTTCCCCAACATCGAACGAAGAACGACTTTCCCACCACCGAACATTGCACGACCGAGCTCAATCCTTCCTTCCCTGCAGCTATGGTGGACTCTCAAGTTCCCCATAGCTGGACGACTGCGTTCTCGAAGCCGAGGACCTTGCACGATGAGTAGACTCCAGGCGCCAGGCCTGCACTGAAGCATGAGGCTCGCTCGGAAGGAGCTACCTCCTCTTGTGCCCCCATCCTCAGATCGGCTCTCGTGTGAGCAGGAGAGAAAGGGGGGCCGGCCAGGGGAGGTCTCGGAGGCCGACCAGCCCATATCCCGCGCTCCCTGTGCCTGATCACGTTCCCGTGACGGATGCAGTGTACAAGAGACCATGCCGATGGCCGACACCGAAGCTCTGGCCGATGAGCAATTATGAGGCCATAAAACTATTCGAATTCGCGCGAGATGCGCGTGCCATCGAGCACCAGGTCGGAGTAGCACATGTTCCATGCCCGCTCGCCACCCCCCCTTCCCCCTCGGCCATGGTGTCGTCGCCACGACGTGGTGGCCATCGGGCCCAACCCAGAGAGTCGAGATCGACGAGCGACCCTTTCCGAGATCAAGGCCACACGAAGGAACGAAGTGCCCGAAGAAGACGACGAGTCGCGCTGATGATTCGAGGCGCCAGAGACTCGAGATTGGAGTCGCAGAGAGAGAGAGAGAGCACGGCCGCAAAGACGGCGGGCCCGTGGGAAGAAAGGACGAGCCATGGAAAAGAAGACGGAAGGAGAGACAGAATGGAAAATACAGAGGCACCGAGCATCGGATCGGATGCCCGGAGGTCGCAATAAAGCTTTACTCGGAAGGACACGGCTCGCCACAGAAGGGAACACGGCGAGACGCAAATGTGACAGGATTTGATTTGATGTGTTTTGGTTTTTGTACTGCAATGGCAACTCTTGTTTTTCCCTTCGGTAAGAGAGCGAAGGCAGTCACTTTATTATCGTTCAAAAAGATCTAGCGTTGAATCTTCGGCACTGCAACATCCTGAAAATACAGAAGTGGCGAGACATTGCAAGTTCTCACGATCTGCCTGCCACAGCCTCGAGGAGCGATACTGACAAACACAGAACAGAACTGCAACAAACAAAGCCTAAAATTTCATCGTCGTATCAAGTAGAGAGAGATTTTACGAATCCGTATCTAAAAAAAATGGAGACGCGCGGGTTTGTTGGAGAGGCCAATGAATGTCTCTGGCGCCTTCCGTCTCCATCCCGCCCCCCCCCCGCCGCGGCAGCATCGCGCACCCGCGATGCGGATGCGGCGGCGGCGGGTCACAATATTTCCTAATCCACGGCTCGAGGAGATTCGAGCTGAACGCCCCGAGCCCTGGGAAATAAATCGATCCTAATCCTACATTCTAAACCAAATGTCCTTTGTAATGGTGATGGTGGTGGTGCCGGTGGTGATATCATGGCCGGCGGTCGAAGATGAAGGCGATGGATGTATCAGAGCTCGTATCGGCTCCAAAAAAGCGCACAGAGTCCCCTGCACGAGAAGAATGTATTTGTACATAGGACAATGCATATGTGAAGGAAGCTAGCTCCACGAGCGAGCGAGCAGCGATGAGGGATTCAATCGTTCATCCTTGCTCCCATCGTGGCCCGAAGGAGATCCAGCAGCGCGCGCCTAGACTTCGTCCCTGGCGCACCGCGTGATGGTGGAGCACGTCCGCTCGTAAGGTCTCACGGGGCCCGACGCGGAGTTGCAATTCGTGGTGTAGTAGGACCTGCCGGATTGCGGGGGGCAATTGACATTGTCGGCCGTCAAGGCGCCGTAGCTGATGTAGTAGCCTCCGGCCGCAGGGCTGGCCGGGCCTGGAGCTGGCGCCGGTGACAATTGCGCGCTCACCTGATCCATCGACACTACCAGAGCCACTGCCGCCAGGGCCACGAAGCACACGCTTAATCTCGAGATCCCGCTCCTGTCCATCTCTGCTCCTCTACTTTTCCCCCTCGAGCTCCTTCCGCTCTGCCGCACTCTCAACACACACGCACCTCCGCAATCCCACGCCCCTCTACAATCTACCAACAAAACCGAGCTCCAATCTCCGACCGCACCGCTTCTTCGCTCCTGACAGTCTCGACAACTGCTTCTGCTGCTGCTCCTGCTGCAGATGCCACAAATTGATCCCTGTCTGGACGAACACAGCTCGATACAGCTCGATCCAACCCGTCCGGGCGAGAGAGTATGTGCACTCGCCTGGCGATGGGAGGGAGGGAGGAAGGAAGAAGAGAGCTCGAAAAACAAAGGCGATGATATTTGTTCAGACCCAAACGCTTATAAACTAGTATCTGTCTAGAAATGGCTCGAAGTTATGAAAGCTCGAAGCGCAGAGAAGGAAGAGGAGGAGGAGGAGGAGGATGGTATACACACACAAACACACAAACACTCAGAGTCTGGACTCTCACTCGCTCCACTCTCGTGCGGCCTGCCAGCAGAAGCGTGGCGAGAACAACGAGGAAGGGAGAGGAGAGGAGAGGAGAGGCAGTGGATTCGGTGGAAGAGAGCGGCCGGTTACAAGTAGTCGGAGGGCAGGGAGCGAGGGAGCGAGAGGGCAAGGGGGGAGGGAAGATACGAAAGCGCGCAAGACTCTAGAGCTCGGAGCGTAGTCAAGGCCCGATTCGTGGGTCTGGCGTCTGGACGCTTCTCTTAAGTCAAGGCTCGCTCGCTCGCTCGCATGTGCACGTTTTCTCCTTCTGCCCTCGCGGGGCCTGCTTTCGCTCGTATCCTGCAGCAAATTTCGCTCGCCACGTTCGGCTGCATTCCGTTTAAATTTAGCCGCCAGCCCACAACCAGGCCTGGGCCCCCTTGACTTACTTACTTACTTACTTACTTACTCATGGGTCAACAGTCGCCCCGTTCCCTTCTTCCCCTTCCCCGGGTTTTATTCCCGGTTGCTCACCGGATGAGCTGTTCCCCCCTTTTTTCCCCACTTACCGGCTCCTTCACCTCCCGCCCCGCCCCCGTCCAACGCTGTTCCCTCCCCCCCAGATCCGTCCTCCTTCGTGTTCGAGAGTAAGGAACTGCGCTGGAGGAGGGCCTGGACGTTTTCTATCGCGATGGGAGGGGAGAGGGGGGAGAAAGTGAAATGTCGTCCAGGGGATGGCGATAAGACTCCGGAGGCCAGGAGAGGAATTGTTTAAGCCACTTCTATTGTGTGGGAATCAAGTAAAATCACTGTCACTGACCGACCCTACGAGGGCCTACGGCATCGTCTCATCCTACTCCAGTTAATGCTCGGAGCCTTTTCGTTTGCAGTGTCTCGCAGGAGGGCCCCGCAGTGCTGCTGTCAGTGGCCCTGGCCATCCATGCGCAGCGGCCTTCATTTCTGCTGTGTCCCGTCAGATGATAACACTCCGCTCCGCAGCTCCGGGTCGTTTCGTGCCCAGAGCTCCAGCTCCAGCGCTCAGTCTCAGACTCAGCTCGAGCCAAGCGCCATTGTGTGTCTGTGTCTGTGTGCCTTGACCCCCCGGACTGTGAGAGACAGACAGAGACAGCCAGAGTGGGGTGAGGGAGGTGTTCCTCCCCAGGTCGATCGGATTCGTAGCATGCTTCAGACTATGCTCGGGATCTCGGATTGCAGGACCAGTATTTGCGCAGTGAAGTGGAATGGAGTGCAGTGCAGTGCAGTGCAGTGCAGCGCAGGGTTGGCAGGCTGGGGAGAAGCGCACTGGCACTCAAGGAGGTCGACGAGCTCGTCCTCTCACTCGGCTGCCAGATGCATCTAGTGAATTTGGGTTGGCGTTTGATTTGGGTGGTTCATCATGGTCTGGTAGAATGGCAGGCCGTGTTCATCTGTCTGTTCCATTCCCCTCCCTCCCTCTCTCTCGAACACTAAGCACGATCCGTCACGAGTAAGAACGCAGTGATTTCTGTGAGCTTACAAGTCTTTGGACTCGCTAGATTTTGGTGTCAGTGTGGAGGTGTGCGTCCGGCTGGGTTTGATGAAGTCTCTCTGTCATCGTCGTCATTGCCTTATCAGTTCCATCTGTGTAAAACTACCATTGATCTCATTCTGAGAGAAGGAAAGCGAGCATTTCTTTCACAGTTTAGCGAGCACGAGGGGTTGGTTCACGAATTCCGATGACCCGAGAAGTAGAACGACGAGCTTTCGTTCGGTAGGAGTTCGGGGCATTCGAGTAGACCGACTTGAATGTTCGGTGGATGCAGTCAGTCGTCCCAAGACGTGACCCCACTTTTAACTGATGGGCATACATCTGTCGCTGTCTTTAGATAGTACCGGGTTGGATTGTTCAGCTGAGCTCAGTGCAGAAGTAGCTCGCGCACACCAGCGAGGAATCAGCAGCCAGAAGCTGTCTAGCCGACAGGGAAGACTGCCAGCAATGTTGTTGGCATTGACTCACCGTGATTAAGCTGCTGCTGCTGCTGCTCATTCAGCATTCTGAGATTCAAGAGCACTGCATGTAGCACGTAGACATCTAGCGGAACGGTTGATGTCTGAGAACTGGAAGTCGTGTCGTTCGTGAGGAGTAGTGCATAACTCGTTCGCCTTCATTGCCAGAGCCTTTCGATACACTCCTGCCTCCCCGCTCTACTCTCCACTTTCTAGATTTGAACGAATACACGGGGCTCAGTGTCTGCACCAGCAGTGTTGATTCCACCGAGTTCACTTGTGCACTGCTCTGGAGGATCTGTAGGCAGCAATTGGGCAAAATTGACGCCTTACATTTATCCGTGGGAAGTCTCTGAGTGGCAAATGACCCAAATTTCTTCTCACGGGTATCATCTAGATCATCACGGAGGACAGTCAACAGTTTACGGTTTGCCATGCATTCCGTAGTGGATAGTGAAGGAAGAGGGGTCGGTCGGTTCATCCTTGGCCCCCTGACAAAACTCTGATGAATCTCAGGATATCACACCTTTGAACTGCCGGAAACTGGAGAACAAGGCCGCCAGTGTCCTTTCCAATATCTGTCAATCACTACGAGTCTGCAAAGCCCAGACTCGTACTCACACTCTACTCGATACATTCCACCAAAACGGCGCATGTGATTCACATCCTTGGAATCAGAAATGGCGTCAAGCCAGTTGGCTGCATGTTGCGGGAGAGATCCAAAGGCCAAGTAAGAAGGAAAGTACTCCAGAACAGTACTGTGTCACCGGACGCTGGTTGCATCCCGTGACTTGTATTTCTTCACTTGCACAGTGCAGATTATGAACGAGGTACGATCATGGTCGAAAGAAGGGCTGTGAGATCAATCATCTCCATAGAGAATGGACTATCCAGCATCTCCCTTCTTCTTGTTTGCTCACGTCGACAAGAAGTACACGCACAAGAAGTATGTGGGCTTCCTCTACATCCTCTTAACATGACTTTCCACATACCCTCGGGTCGATCGATGGATACATTGATGCTGTCATCTACACGTGGCTGATCAAGTCCACATGACAATGCCAGTCGATTGAAGGTGGGGTCACTTGAGAATCATCATTCTCCTTATTTCTCACTACTGTAGGTATTCAGTGGAGGTCAGTGAGCAACTCCATATCATTATATAATGTGAAACAATGCGGCCACACGTATTGATTGTCCATGCACAAACAAGATAAAAAGCTGCAACATTAAACAACTCATTCCCCGAAGTTCCTCCCCCGTTTCACGCAGGATCTATAGATCACGAGAAAGTTAGTTCAAGACAATCTCGTGAAGGGAACATCCACCTTGCCTTGAACACCCGAATGATGAGATTGACCCCAAAATATGCTTCGTTTAGACCCCATTCCACGTTTTGGTCATCATGTTCTAAGAGCTGACACACACATTGATTGCCTGATGTTTTGCATTCTGTAAGTGTTGTAGCAATCCACCGTAGCAGTCTGATTTCAAAGATAGTAAGTTCTTAAACGCATCGTTTTACAGAGGCCATTGATCTTTTAACTTAAATAAGTAAGACCAATCACATGAACAAGTTGCTATGAGTAATGTTGCCGACATCGTTGCCATGCAGTTGAATCTAAAAAAACTAACAACAACAAAAGACTTGAAAACTGCCATCTAAAACTGGTAACCAACTTTGGAATGCTTTTGCAAGACTGAACTTTTATTTATACTGCGATGCATGGAAGAATATGATCCACTGAATCCTGTGAGGCAGCATCTGATTCCATGCCCATGCGTACTTACAAATGCGAAGGCTTCGCAAGCGAATCAGCCTCCTCTTTCAGTTATGAATACAAATAACTGGGATAAAATTATTCTTGATAGTTCACCAGTCGCTGCTATCAGACAAGCCTTATAATAGCATTCTTATTTTGTGAACTTCATACATTCTAGAGAAATAATACGAAATATACAATCAACGTCATCTAATAAAGGACCCCACGCTCTAGTCTATGGCGGAGTGTGTTCTTGTAGTATATTGGTCAATCTGGAACGGTGATTCCAGACACCAACTGCTCAAAACCAGCTTTGGATAATTTTGTATGAAGAGTTTGTAGTTGTTTGAATCTAAGGGACAGAAAAAAGAAATGGGACAAGTGGACGACATGAAGCATTCTGAATGGATGAGGGTGAAAGTGGTACTGAGGTCAGAATGAAAGGACTGCATGATATAGGTGCTCAGGTTCAACAGTCATATAAGAAATGGCATCAGGCTTGTAGATTTTGACGTACTCTAAGAGGATGAGACTTAGGGGCAGAATGCACGAGTGAATCCGTGGATGTTCTCTCTGCGAACTTTCGCTATCTGCTGATGAGCTCAGAAGGTGATGCAGCTCAAAAGCCATCACTGAAAAGTCACCATTAGAAGAATCTAAAACAAAAAAGGAGAAAAAACTTTGTGAGAGATGGTCAGCAGGAAATTGAAGCAAGCAAAGTAAAGAGGATCGGAAAGACGAGCGGAGAAAGACATCTTTGAGATTAAGCATGTTCCTCGATGGCATGACATATTGGGGGCATTTTGTGATGAGTGTGGGAGAGTTAATCGATTGAGTGAGTGTATGTCGGTTTCCTTGAAACGTATTTAATATCACGAGGCTGAAAGAGTATGTATTTTGAACTTACATGTATGCAGATCGTACTGCCTGTCGACTGCCATAAGGGTGTAAGGGTACACCGCCAACATAATGGCTTGTCAAAGAAAAAAATGTGACTCCAGAATTTCTAAAGTACAGGTCCAGCCATAAGTGTTCCTCTGCATCTTATGAACTAGATGAGTAAAAGTTCCATTATCCCCATTGCAGGAGCAATCTTATGTTGTTGGTTTCCGAGGGGAGCATCTACACTCCTCATGCCTCTCGTCCTTCAGAGCCTTCCCGATAGAAAATAGAGTCGATATTGGCCAGTGAGAGTTTTAGAAACACTCACCGATGGAAACGAGACAACAATAAATGAGCTGGCCGAAGATCAGAGCGCCAGGCTTGTTGACAGAGGATACCCGATTGCCATGGGTGGCTAAAACTAGTAAATTTTTGCAAAATCAATAGGGTTAATGGTTTAATACAATAAAACCTGATATTTGGTGGGTTTTTTATTGACATTCTGAGATGACTTCATCCAGTGAAAGTGTCAAGTGGAAATCTCTTATGACATGAGTCTCTTATATAAGTAGGACCCACCAAATTAAAATCGAGTTAAACCCCATTTATGTAGCCTCAGAGACATCGGGTTAAACAATAAAACCTGACTTGATATAATCGCGATTATATCAAGGAGCCCTGCCAGCCTTGCTGATTGCCCTCGTATTTCAACGCAGAATATAAGAGTTTTGATGTAAGGGTATCAAAGAAAGGTGATACGGGTACACACACCTTGTGGGAAGTAAACGTGAGGGGATCTCGGACTGCGTGAGACCAAGTCATCATCTGCAGATATGAAGGGAGACTCTTCAAAACCGTCAGCGATAAAAAGTATCCAATGTAAATTATCATTTGCATTCTAAACTTGTCTGTATCGTCTTCGTACCTTCTATTTGAATATTGAGTGGAAGGTCTTTCTATTGTGAGTCCTTTACATGCGGCGGTCGCCCATCCACATTGTCAAGGGTGGAGTCAACTGTTACTCGTGACAAGGCTGGGAACCAAAGGTGCATGAAGTTGAGCCGATATATATAATAACATGAGCGTTGCTGGTTTCGTAGTGCTCTAGCAAAGGACTTGAAGGATGCCCTGATATTGACTTTTCCTACATTTCTCATGATTGATATTGACCTGTTTCATGTGACGACCCCCACATTATTACTAAACATAGGTTATTTTTTTTGTGTCGAATCTTTTTGTTGTTGGACTTTCTATTTCTACTTGGTAGAAATGCATACGGGATTGCTTGAACCTTCCTCATTCATGTTAATATACAAATTATATTTATATCATGATCGTATTTTTGTGTATCTATATGTATAATCAAATATACAAAACTTTGCACATAACATCGGATATTTATTTTTAATCGCACTAAGATCATTTTTGTTTATCTTCAGAACAGTCTGTCTGACACTCTCCCCATAGCATGAAATACGTATCACCAAGTCACTTTTTGTTTCAAGGTTGATTATCTCATGCATTAGCGACTCTCCACTATAGTCGCATAATTGTGATCTGGTGTTCAACCTCAAACACTAACTTATAAATAATTCTATTTTACTCCAAGAACCCGTAGGCCTTAACAATGCTAAATAAAAAGAAAGCTGTAATAGAAAGCGTTCACTCTAATTGATAAACCTAATCCATCCTTGCATGTACTCATCTACCTAACTAGGTTACATTACCCGTTAAATATGATAATCATCTTGCAAATTTTGATGCATCTTGCATCTTGCCAATGGATGCTGTATATATCGGAACTTGACTTGCTACATTCCTGCTCGATAAATGTGGACACTTTTACCTGTCTATTTAATGTTTTGCATCCTCAATTGATTACCTCCGTGCTCCACCATCTCGTTTATTAATAAAGTTACATCATTCTTCTACGAACTCTTACATAAACATGATCAAGCTCATGGTGGGAGAATTTGATTCTCATCAAGCACTCCAAATAAACAAACCGGACCCGGGTTGTCTTCGAGATTATCCTTTGATTTTCTTCGACCTTGTGATTTCCACGTGTAAAGTGGAAGATACAAGCTTCTCGAATTCGACTTTTTATCTTCTAAGAACTTTTCTCTTTTTTGAGTTGAGATTTTTTTTTTTCGGAAAGTCTCAAGTTGAAGTTTTCAACTTTGCATCTGAAGGTGTACATCGACGAGGTTGTCAGCATGATGACAGGTTGGTGTTGGATTTTGCAAGCAGGTTCTAATGATTCATGGTTATCCATGGCTGAATCCTAGATGTGAATCTAATATCACCGATCCATTTTACCCTACCCAGAACTTTAGAAAAGATCTAGCCAGCTTCAGAATCTCCAATCTAGCAAGCAAATAGAATCGGAGGCCTGCACGGTGACGAGCTGGATATAGTTTGTTCCTGCAAGAGAGGGCAAGTCGTGCCCGCCTGGAAGCTCACTGAGTCTACCTCCCATGACTGATTCTACAGACTGCTCACTCTTATCGGCAGTGGTGTGGCATATGCAGCTTCGGAAATAAGATGGTCAAGGATTGAATCCTGAAACGTTGGTCGCCATATCTTCGAGTCAGAACATAGGAATGAGTCTTTCGTCTGGAGTTTCATGCAGCTAAATGGAAGATCAGCTGGTTACTGGCGCGATTCTGACTGGGAAAATAGCTTTCCACCCCTCGAATTCCGCTGCAGGGACCACTCGGATCACAATGGACTGCGTCAAGGTTTTGGTCTCTGTTTATGTCGACTTCATCTTGATGGCAATTGTATGTGCAAGGAACCGTTGAAGTCTGAAGGTTCAGAAGTCAGAAGATGCATGATGATGCTGGACAGAAGTCAAAAGGATCGCGAGCTCGGCGATGTCTTCGTATAGTCATCACATCCACAGCTTCACTAACGCTCTACGCCTCTAGCTCAGAATGGGAATGCAGGGCAATCCCACGATTTCCCACGCAACAGCTGAAGGTGCAAGTTAATTATATTATACCCAGACCAAATTTACAAGCGAGCTTTCTTAACTTGTACGCTGTGTTATAATCATGTCCAAGTCCAGACACTTCTCTTTACACGTATAGCATATCGTTTTCGGTTTCCACTATTGTGCTCTTATCACTTTTAAACCATAATATTGGTTTGCTACCTACATTCACATGCTAGTTTATAGATTTATACTGCAAATGGATTTTTTCATTTTTATCTGCTCGCAACATGCGAATCTAAGGCCCGATCTAGAAGCTATAAGTAATAAAAAAACTGATTACAACAATGATTTCCTAACTTTTAAGTGCTCAGATTATCAAAAGCATCGATGTTAACGTTTGTTAATAGTGAAGTTTGTGTTG